TCACTGCCTCAACCACTGCCTCTACCACTGCCTCTACACTGCCTCTACCACTGCCTCTACCACTGCCTCAACCACTGCCTCTACCACTGCTCTTACCACTGCCTCTACCACTGCCTCTACCACTGCCTCTACCACTGCCTCTATCACTGCCTCTACCACTGCCTCTACCACTGCCTCTACCACTGCCTCTACCACTGCCTCTACCACTGCCTCTACCACTGCCTCTACCACTGCCTCTACCACTGCCTCTACCACTGCCTCTACCACTGCCTCTATCACTGCCTCTATCACTGCCTCTATCACTGCCTCTACCACTGCCTCTACCACTGCCTCTACCACTGCCTCTACCACTGCCTCTACCACTGCCTCTACCACTGCCTCTACCACTGCTCTACCACTGCCTCTACCACTGCCTCTACCACTGCCTCTACCACTGCCTCTACCACTGCCTCTACCACTGCCTCTATCACTGCCTCTACCACTGCCTCTACCACTGCCTCTACCACTGCCTCTATCACTGCCTCTACCACTGCCTCTACCACTGCCTCTACCACTACCTCTACCACTGCCTCTACCACTGCCTCTATCACTGCCTCTATCACTGCCTCTACCACTGCCTCTACCACTGCCTCTATCACTGCCTCTACCACTGCCTCTACCACTGCCTCTACCACTACCTCTACCACTGCCTCTACCACTGCCTCTACCACTACCTCTATCACTGCCTCAACCACTGCCTCTACCACTGCCTCTACCACTGCCTCTACCACTGCCTCTATCATTGCCTCTACCACTGCCTCTACCACTGCCTCTACCACTGCCTCTACCATGCCTCTACCACTGCCTCAACCACTGCCTCTACCACTGCTCTACCACTACCTCTACCACTACCTCTACCACTGCCTCTACCACTGCCTCTATCACTGCCTCTATCACTGCCTCTACCACTACCTCTACCACTGCCTCTACTGCCTCTACCACTGCCTCTACCACTGCCTCTACCACTGCCTCTACCACTGCCTCTATCACTGCCTCTATCACTGCCTCTACCACTACCTCTACCACTGCCTCTACCACTGCCTCTATCACTGCCTCTATCACTGCCTCTACCACTACCTCTACCACTGCCTCTACCACTGCCTCTACCACTGCCTCTATCACTGCCTCTATCACTGCCTCTACCACTACCTCTACCACTGCCTCTACCACTGCCTCTACCACTGCCTCTACCACTGCCTCTATCACTGCCTCTATCACTGCCTCTACCACTGCCTCTACCACTGCCTCTACCACTGCCTCTACCACTGCCTCTACCACTGCCTCTACCACTGCCTCTATCACTGCCTCTATCACTGCCTCTACCACTACCTCTACCACTGCCTCTACCACTGCCTCTACCACTGCCTCTATCACTGCCTCTATCACTGCCTCAACCACTACCTCTACCACTGCCTCTACCACTGCCTCTATCACTGCCTCTACCACTGCCTCTACCACTGCCTCTACCACTGCCTCTACCACTGCCTCTACCACTACCTCTACCACTGCCTCTACCACTGCCTCTACCACTGCCTCTATCACTGCCTCTATCACTGCCTCAACCACTGCCTCTACCACTACCTCTACCACTGCCTCTACCACTACCTCTACCACTGCCTCTACCACTGCCTCTATCACTGCCTCTACCACTACCTCTACCACTGCCTCTACCACTGCCTCTATCACTGCCTCTACCACTGCCTCTACCACTACCTCTACCACTGCCTCTACCACTGCCTCTACCACTGCCTCTATCACTGCCTCTATCACTGCCTCAACCACTGCCTCTACCACTACCTCTACCACTGCCTCTACCACTGCCTCTACCACTGCCTCTATCACTGCCTCTACCACTGCCTCAACCACTGCCTCTACCACTACCTCTACCACTGCCTCTATCACTGCCTCTACCACTGCCTCTACCACAGCCTCTATCACTGCCTCTATCACTGCCTCTACCACTGCCTCAACCACTGCCTCAACCACTACCTCTACCACTGCCTCTACCACTGCCTCAACCACTGCCTCTACCACTACCTCTACCACTGCCTCTATCACTGCCTCTACCACTGCCTCAACCACTGCCTCTACCACTGCCTCTACCACTGCCTCTACCACTACCTCTACCACTGCCTCTACCACTGCCTCTACCACTGCCTCTACCACTGCCTCTACCACTACCTCTACCACTGCCTCTACCACTGCCTCTACCACTGCCTCTACCACTGCCTCAACCACTCCAGTCGCACTCAATCTACAAGCACCAAACAATGAATTATTGTGAAATGTTTGGAAGAGCAGGGAGACTAATGTTCACTCCAGCATAAACAAAACCACATTGACGATGTGTCAACCACTCCCTCGTATTTTTGTACAATTTCCTTCTTCAGTTATATCGTATTATTATTATTATTATTATTATTATTATTATTATTACTATTGTTATTATTAGCAGTAGCAGAAATGTTTGATTCTTTGCTGTGTTCAAGAGTAAACACATGATGTCACCGTCCAATACCTGTTCAAATAGCCATTCCAATATGCAGTCATGAATGTGTTTACATTATTTATACTGTAGTTTAATAGCAAATAATGAACAAACAAAACACTCACCACACTGAGTGGTGGGAGGGCTGGCTGCCAGTTGCGGGGGTCGGAGGGAGGGTAGTAGGGACTCTCATTGGTGGAGGAAGTGGTGGAGGCAGTGGTGGAGTCTGTGGTATTTAATAACATACATGTTATTAAAGCATAACATGTATATATTTAGTACAACTTACGACGTTTTCATGTATTTTATGATTGTTCATGGTTCAACAAGTTAAGCAGTATTGTATTATATTTCCCTACAATATATTGGGGCACCAAACATTCACGGTTTTTCAACATTCGCGAGGCTCTTGGTCCCCTAACCCTCGCGAATGTTGAGGGACACCTGTATATAGCTGTTCCACCACCTTGTAGGTATGTCCTACAGTAGTATATAGCTGTTCCACCACCTTGTAGGTATGTCCTACAGTAGTATATAGCTGTTCCACCACCTTGTAGGTATGTCCTACAGTAGTATATAGCTGTTCCACCACCTTTTAGGTATGTCCTACAGTAGTATATAGCTGTTCCACCACCTTGTTGGTATGTCCTACAGTTGTGTATGGCTATGTAACCAGGAATGCCATAAACATCTGTAGTACCAGACTTGAGCCAGGTTTCTGTGTGATGATTGACATACTGGTATGAAGGGAATTGAGTAATGCTGTGAGGAGGAGTAGTATTACTCTCTCAAACAATTGTAATATTATATATATTCCTTGTACATAGCCGTAGAAGACTAAAGTAGTAAAAAAAAAAAAAAAAAGTCATACTGTACGTATATATACCGATTATTGCGAGTGAAGCGATGTTTGAAGTGCTAAAACAGATAAACAACCAAATATTAGTGTCAATATATTGTAAAATGTAAATATTGCTGGCACTTTAACACTGTTGTTGCCCACTAGTGATTATTTTTTCACCAACTTCAACACTTTATAAAATCGTAAGTTTTATCAGACTTCGCTCATTTTAGTCTTATTCAATTCAAAGAAACAAACTCTATTGAGCTGTTAGAAAAAATATATTTTTTAATTTTTCAAAATCCCCCCCCCCTCCGCATGCACGTACACACACACGGGAATTTCTTTGCAGGTTCTGCTACAGTTAGTGTTGAGCAATGCATTAAATATAATACATCACAATGAACTGCAGTTACATTATCATTATCTTTATGATTTTGAGACCTTAATGAAATTTTTTTTTTGCCATTTTTAGGATCCAAGGAGTGTAACCTCATTTTTTCCACAAGTTCTTCAGTTTGCTTTACACGATTTTGCCTCGGACACAATTTTTAAGAACATAATTGACGGTCTACTGTAAACACATAATACTCGCTGCTCATTACATACTAAGAACAAAAATATTTTAAAGTAATGAATGTACTGTACAGTGGACCCCCGCTTAACGATCACCTCCAAATGCGACCAATTATGTAAGTGTATTTATGTAAGTGCGTTTGTACGTGTATGTTTGGGGGTCTGAAATGGACTAATCTACTTCACAATATTCCTTATGGGAAAAAATTCGGTCAGTACTGGCACCTGAACATACTACTGGAATGAAAAAAGTTCGTTAACCGGGGGTCCACTGTATATGCATTTTACTTTTTTTTTAGGCTTAACTCTATTGTGTACTTCATGTATTATAGTGTAAACATGTTTTCAGGCTTTTTATATGCATTTGAAAGTGAAAGAAAGGCTGACTTACCATATTTTACGGCAAACAAGACGTTCTGGTGTTGAGGACAGCCCTCCGGTTCTGACTGGCTAAATTTTGGAAATACAATGATAAAGAGTATCGATAATAATAAGAGTAGGAAAGATATGTTAAGTCTTAGGCATTATATATGAAAACCCATATTGATGGTTCATTCTACAGTTATTTACCACTGACACAGCTGACTGCCAGGTTCCCCAGTCAGCTGTGTCAGCTCGTGGCTTACAACAACCCCCCTCAAAGGGTTAATTTGCTAGTTTTAAAGTATTACATCAGCATTTTATAAGTATCGGCCAATATCGACAGCACTTTCACCGATGCCAAAAAAAATAACTGATGACAATACTCGAACTCCTCCTCCTCCCCTCCCCAGTACTGTCCACAACTGTTTCAACCTCTGTACTCGTCTGAAGATGTTCACAGTGCAGGATCGACCACATGCCAGTGTTGCTATAATGTCTCTCTTAACTCATCTGCTTCATGTGTTAGAATTAGAATAATTTTTATACAAGATAATTCATCTTCAGACTATACCATGGGCGGGGATAGAACCCGCGGGTTCTATCCCCGCCCGTGGTATGGTTTGTTTGCAATCGTGTCATTACGATTTTGTTAGTCAATTTATCTTCCAAAACTAATTTTATGTTTTTCCTCAGCAACACAAAAATGCTTGGCCGTTCCTGGAGCCGGTGGACCCATCAGAGGTCCCTGATTACTACAAGGTGGTGAAGGAGCCCATGGACCTCAAGACTGTGGAGAGCCGAGTTGAGGAGAGGTCATACCGACGGCTGGCACAGTTCATTGGCGACGTGATGCTGGTCTTCGACAACTGTCGTCTCTACAACCCTCCCAACTCGTCGTTCTGCTCGTGTGCCGCCACACTAGAGTCTTTCTTCTGCCAGAGACTACGCAGTCTCAAACTTCGACTAGCACAGAAATCTTAGTGCAGGTTTCCCAGTGATAATTCTTCCTGTATAAAGCACAAGATTTTTTAAAATTAGAAGTTTATTGACATCTCTGAGTTTTACCTATCCTGAGGTACGTATCCCGTGGTAATTATGCTGTAGTACCTATCCTCCGGTAGCTGTTCTGTGGTACCTATGTTGCGGTAATTCTGTGGTACCTGTCTTTTGGTGCCTGATCTTTGGTACCTATCCTGCAGTAATTATGGTGTGGTACCTGCTCTCGGTACCTGTAATTTGGTACCTATCCATGTTACCTACCTATGGTACTTACCTGTGGTACCTACCCATGGTAAGAATCAGTCATAACAGACAGCAGCAGGAACAAGAGCTTGACGGATCACTTCCAGCATGATGACGGGTAGAGTGGACAGTCAACCTCACAATTTGCAACTGAAATGCAGCGATGCTTTGGTCCCTTGTAGACCAAAGTGCTTGCCAGACAATGATCCAGGATGGACCGCAACCCCCTCTATCATTTCCACTTCAGTCTGTTAGTCAGGCATTGTGTAAGCCACGGTATTGTGTCAGTCATGCATTATGTCAGCTGTGGTATTGTCAGCCATGCATTGTGTCAGTCATGCACTGTGTCAGTTATGGTACTGTCAGCCACAGTATTGTCAGCCACAGTATTGTGACAACCACAGTATTGCATCAGCCCTGGTATTGCGACAGCCACAGTATTGTGACAGCCGTGGTATTGCGACAGCCATTGTATTGAGACAGCCACGGTATTGTGACAGCCGTGGTATTGCAACAGCCACAGTAGTGTGACAGCCACAGTATTGTGTCAGCCATAATATTGTGTCATCCACAGTGTTGTATCAGCCATGGTATTGTGTCAGCCACAGTATCGTACCAGCCATGGTATCATGTCAGCCACGGTATTGTGTCAGCCACAGTATCATACCAGCTATGGTATTGTGTGACTTTTGTTCTACAAATCGAGAAGAGAATTTTGCATGCGAGTTATTATATCATACTGATAAATTATATTTGGCAATATTATCAATTGTCACCTAGAATAATATCATTATAGATGTATCAGAGTATGTTAAGATATTTTCTTAAAATTTGTATTTTGTGAAAATTATATACATATATATACTGTATATAAGGTTAGAGAAGTGGGTCAAGTATCAAAAATAAAAAAGGAATAATTGAAGTAGGATCTTCCTCGCCGATGATTGTCTTTTGTTAAGACTAAAAGTTAACTTATTGCATCTTGTTGATTATTTTAATGTTTCATCAGTCAACCCTCCTGTAAGGCTCCTCTCTATACACACTGTGATTTTATAAATTTTTTGTGGATGCAGTCGACCGCGTGTATTGGACTTGGTATGTGCTGTAAGCTCTCTTATAAAAGTCTTGTGTATTAAGACAGGTCTTGATTACTGTCATCACAATTAGGGCCAACTTTGATTTAGTGCGAAATTAATGGTAGTTCCCGTGTCCCCCTAAATAGTGCAATAACTTCACTGGATTTAATATTGACACAAGTCGAGACCTGGCGGTGATGTGATTCATTTATCACTTCCTTTGAAAACATCGATGCAAAATTATCAACTTTTTCACTTGTCTGAAAAAAAATCATATGGAAAGTCTATAAAAATCTAAATTGTTATTGCACATTTCAGAGTTGGAGGCATTTTCTGACTTTCTTTTTTAGCTAAAATACATAAATTATCAGATTTTTAATCAGTATATAAGAGAAGGTTCGCAAGACCAGACTGCTCTATGAATGTTATCATCAGTCATTTAGTTGTGCATGAATTTTCTTAGTGACATTTAGAGGAAGTCTTGCTGAGTGGAAGAGTTTTATAAGAGAGTTGACTGCATGTTGGACAGGGAGGACAGCAGTGAGGGGGAACTGGGTATACCTGGGGCCAGTACAAGCAAGGTCCATCTACCCTAGTGGAAGGTGGTCAGCCGGTGTAGTGTTGTGGTGTGAGGTACTCTGAAGGTAACAGTGAGATGGGCACCAGTTAACCTGTTAATGGTGTGTAGGGGACTATGGTTGATCATTATTGAGCACTGTAGTGTGAGTGGTGAGTTGTTACATCCTTGTTAATGACCCCTAGTATGCTGCCGGTGTATACATATACACTCATTCTGAATGGTTGTACCATACAATGCAACTCTAGAAATGGGGAAAATGGTTGGCAGCCATTTCTCCACTTTGTCACCAAACACGATACACCATACTGGATATACATATGTATACAAGGCCACGACACCTGGTGGTAATGTATTAATGTTGAAGGTTTTTGAACAGTGAGGAGTAACAAGTTCTGCTGACGGGTTATCACAGAGGTCAGCTTAATCCCGGCTAAATTTAAAACTACCATTGCCAAAATTGGTGCACGTAGAGCAATGGATGTCAGGCCTGGTGTGTGACACTGCCCCTGTGAGGGTCACACTAAGTCTGGCACATGGAGACTCGTTACACAGTAACGACAGTTCTATCGTTCATAAAACACATCTCCCGGACTCTCTCACTCTGGGTTTGTTGCTCTGATCCTCTAGCCACACCTTTGTACCTTATAAAATAAAGAAATTTCTTTATTATTAATACTACTAATATTTTGTTGACTTTGAGAGTAATAATGCTGATAAAATGTGACATTCTGTTAAGAAAGTTGTTAAGTGCATTATTGCAGGCAGTATTTCTGCACTGTGTACATTAATATTTATGCAACATATGTACATAATTTGTATGCTTGTGAATGTACATAGTTCTTGAGAATATATAGGTACTCTGCATTGTACAGACTATTTTTACTGCTATCATATCATGAGATCAACATGCGTAATAATGTAGTCTGTAGAGACGCGTGTTAGTCGTCCGGCGTTGCTTGTCGGTCGTCCAGTTATTGCGTCAATTTCTTCGGCCTCGAGCATTGCCCTTGTCACATTCCTTTTGTATATAAAGTTTCAAGAGTTGGTCATCGCCGCACAAATCATTTACAAGCCGATTGATGAATCTGTACGCGATCGATACGAAGCGTCGCCGTGCGGCCGGACTCGACGTCTGGACTGCAGTGAACGATGCCTTTATATCCATAAAAATAATTTTAAGCGTTTTTTACGCAAGTAACTATCGTATTAAGGAATTATTACCACAGTTAAAACGTGGAGTGGATGGTGACTGTCAACAGTGTTCCCTGAGTTTGAACGACGGCCTCAAGTGTACGACAATAAACGGGACATTTGAACCTGTTACTGCTTGACAGCCGATACGAACTTAATGTACAAAGAGAGTAAAGTTACTTGTAAGTTCATGATAGAACCTTTAGCTTAAGGTCAAGAGAAGCTGACTTTGAACTCAACGCTGATGGATCTTATAGCAGTGTTGTCACAGGTGTTGACAGTACTTGTGACACTTGTAATTCTTTTGCTTCAAGTGATTGTCCACTGACGAGTGTGAATACTTTAGGAGAGTCATTTACTTAGTTGTAAATGTGAACGTGGTTCAGCGAGAAAGTTGGGGTTATCTGGTAACTGTTCACAGTCAGTCGTTAGCGGTGACCAGGTCATCGTCAGTAATGATACACAGTTGTTGGTCATTTACAGACCAGTAATTACACTGAAGTCATCACCACTAACAACACTTGGTCGTTGGTCGTTAATGATTATTTTCATGTAGTGAATCTGACGGCTGGAAGCACTGATGGATATTTCCAAGAGTTCTATTATTATTTCTTGACCACACAGTAGTGTGTGTACAGTGATTGTGGTACATGTGTGTACTGTGATGTGTGTACACTGGTATTACACTCTATACACTGGTCTGGAAAGAGCTTCAAGTAGTGGATGTCCAAGGGCATTGAATACACACCGGGCACTGTGTACAGGGCAGAGTGTACACAAGGACGAGTAAACTGAGGATACTCGATGTGTACACTAAGACTTGCAGAACCCTTAAAGGAAGAGAGGGTGCACGCATACACATGTAGATTACTAGGTTGCCAAGACGTACATAGGTCTTCACAAACTCTCAGTTAAGTACAAAATTTCCCACAGTGAAGACATCCAACATTAATGTTCATATTTGTAAAGATAATTTGTAATAAAAAGTTTGTTTTATAAAAGTCAAGTATTGTAACATTGCCTTTTATTTGACCTTATGTTGGAGGGTTCTTCATCCAAGGAAGTGGAGCTCCTCTCTCCTTGGATAGTTAAACCCGTCCCAGCTGGCCACGTTTACCTCTCGGGGACAAAGTTAAGTATTCTTGCAATTGATGGCATTAATATCTGAATCTGAGTATGTTTCAAGTGAACTAGATAGTGTTGAAAACAGTTTTTAGTGCCATCTATTAACAGAAAAGTGAGCTAAACTTTGTGTACATTTTTTTGCACAACAGATGATGTTAATGCATTTGTGTGCCATCTATTGATGGAAAAGTAAATTAAACTTTTTTGTGCAGTGGCACCAGATGTTCATAAATTTAATGCCATCTTTTAACTGGAAAATGAACTGAATATTTAGTACACTTATTTTACAACAGAAGGTACCACAAGATTGGTTATAATGACTGTATGCCATCTGTTATCAGAAAAGTCAACTAAACTTCTAGTAATTATTTTAAACAATAGATGGCACCAAATAAATGTATGCCATCTATTGACTGAAAAGTTAAAAAAAGTTTTAATGCATTTTTTACACAATAGATGGAACCAAAAGTTGTTTTTTATGGCTTTTATATCATCTGTTGGCAGAAGATTATTGTAATAAAAAAGAAGCGCTATACCTACAAGGGTTATACAGTGCCGCTGTTGACAGAAGAGTATACTTAATATTTTGTAACTTACAGCACCATCTATTGTACAAAAAACTTACTGTAGGATTATACAGCACCTGTGGGGGGAGCGGTATTCAGGCTTAATTCAGGGAATCGGTGCACTGATCCAATTCCGTAGATCAAGAGCCCCTCATCAATGTCAAGGAACCTCCCTTGGGGGGGATCTACCTACCTGGAGTCTACCTGGAGGGCATTCCTGGGATCAACGCCCCCGCGGCCCAGTCCACGACCAGGCCTCCCGGTGGATCAGGGCCTGATCAATCAGGCTGTTACTGTTGGCCGCACGCAATCTAACGTACGAACCACAGCCCGGCTGATCCGGCACCGTCTTTAGGTATCTGTCCAGCTCCCTCTTGAAGACAACCAGGGGTCTTTCAGTAATGCCCTTTATTGCTGGTGGGAGGCTATTGAGCAGTCTTGGGCCCCAGACACTGCATTTTCTCTTAGTGTACCAGTGACAACCCTACTTTTCACTGGGGGTATGTTGCATCGCCTGCCAAGTCTTTTGCTTTCGTATGGCGTGATTGCTGTGTGCATATTAAGAACCAGTCCATCCAGAATCTTCCAGGTGTATATTATATCTCTCACCTGCGCCCCAGTGAGTACAAGTCAAGTGCTTCCAGGCGCTCCCAGTAGTTAAGGTGTTTGATGCAACTTATACATGCAGTAAAGGTTCTCTGCACATTCTCTAGTTCTGCAATTTCACCTGCCTGAATGGGGATGTTAATGTACAACAGTATTCCAGCCTAGAGAGAACAAGTGATTTAAAAATTATTATTGTCTTATCATCTCTTGTCTTGAATGTTCTCATTATCCATCCTATCAGTTTCCTGGCAGATGTGATAGTGGTATTGTTGTGGTCCTTGAAGGTGAGGTCATTACCACACCCAGGTCCTTCACATTACTTTTCCGCTCTATTGTGTGGTTAGAGTTTGTAGTATACTCAGTCCTAGTTATTATTTCCTCCAGTTTTCCATAACGGAGTAGTTGGAATTTGTCTTCATTGAACATCATATTGTTGCCCATTGTAAAACTGGTTTATATCTTCTTGGAGCTTTGCCGTGTCCTCAATGGATGACACTCGTGCAGATCCTAGTATCGTCTGCAAAAGATGATACAGTGCTGTGGTTTGCATCTCTGTCTATGTCTGATATGAGAATAAGGAACAGGATAGGTGCGAGTACTGTGCCTTGTGGGACACAGCTCTTCACTATGGCAGCATCTGATTTAACTCTGTTTACCACTACTCTTTGTGTGCGATTGGTTCGAAAATTGAAGATCCATCTGCCTACTTTGCCGGTTATCCCTTTAGCACGCATTTTGTGTGCTGTTACACCATGGTCGCACTTGTCAAAGGCTTTTGCAAAGTCTGTGTATACTACATCTGCATTCTGTTTGTTTTCCAGTGCATCTAGGACCATATCATAGTGGTCTAGCAGTTGAGAGAGGCAGGAGCGACCTGTTCTGAAACCATGTTGCCCTGGGTTGTACAATTTTTGGGAGTCCAGGTGGTCTATCCTGCTTCTTAGAACTCTTTCAAAGATTTTTATGATGTGGGACGTTAAAGCTATTGGTCTATTGTTCTTAGCTACTGCTTTGCTGCCACCTTTATGGAGCGGGGCTATACAGTGGAACCCCGCTTAACGATCACCTCCCAATGCGACCAACTATGTAAGTGTATTTATGTAAGTGCGTTTGTACGTGTATGTTTGGGGGTCTGAAATGGACTAATCTAGTTCACAATATTCCTTATGGGAACAAATTCGGTCAGTACTGGCACCTGAACATACTTCTGGAATGAAAAAATATCGTTAACTGGGGGTCCACTGTATCTGTTGTTTTTAGTGACTGTGGAATCTCACCTGTGTCTAAGCTCCTTCTCCATAGCATACTTAAGGCCCGTGAGAGGGGTTTCTTGCAGTTCTTAATGAACAACAAGTTCCACAAGTCTGGGCCTGGGGCTGAGTGCATGGGCATGTCGTCGATGGCTTTCTCAAAGTCTAGTGGAGTTAGGGTTATGTCATAAATCTGGCCTACATTGGCAGGGTTTTGAGGATCATTCATTAAAAAATTGTTTGGATTGTCTATCTTTAAACTGGTTAGCGGCTCACTGAACACTGAGTCATATTGAGATTTCAGTATCTCACTCATTTCTTTGTCGTCAGTGTAGGATCCATCTTGTCTGAGCAGGGGCCCTATACCAGAAGTGGTTTTAGACTTGTTTTTGGCATGTGAAAAGAAATATTTCGAATATCTTTCAATTTCATTAATCGCTTTGATCTCCTCTTGTCTCTCCTGGATCCTGTATGAGTCCTTTAACTTTCGCTCAATATTTTCCACTTCCCTGGTTAGCACTTCCTTCCGTGTATCAGATAATCTGGCATTCTTGAGGAGCTCGATGGTTCTTCGTCTTCTCCTATAGAGGGAGCGTCTCTCTCCAGTTTACTTCTTTTTTCTTAAGATAATATACCTTGAACATACTTCAGCTACCAGGAGGTTGATCTTTTCGAGGTATTGGTTAGGGTCCATGTAATTTAAGATATCCTCCCAACATGTTTCATTTAGGACATAGTTTACCTGATCCCAGATGATGTTCTTGTTGTTGAAGTTGAATTTGGTAAAGGTACCGATCAGGACTCCTGTGCATGTAACTCTGGACTTGGATTAGATTGTGATCAGAATTTGTAGTTTTTGATATTGTTATGTTTCTTACCAGGTTCTCATTGTGAAAATAAGGTCCAGTATGTTCTCCAGTCTTGTTGGCTCCACTATCTGCTGACTTAGGGTGTGTTTGTTGCAGAAATTCAGCAGCTCCTGTGTGTGTGACTTTTCATCTGAGCTATGTACCTCCAGGGATTATTTCTGCTATGACATTATTTGCTATATTCTTCCATTTTGTTTATCTTAGACTGAAGTCAGCAAGCAGCAAGATGTCTGGGGATGGGACTGGAAAGTTATCCAGACAGGAGTTAATTTTTGACAGTTGTTCTTTGAACTGTTGGGAAGTTGCATCCGGTGGCTTATATACAAGTACAATGACTAAGTTTTGGTTCTCGATTTTTATTGTCAGAACTTCAACTACATCATTTGTGGTGTTCAGTATTTCTGTGCAAATGAGCGACTCTTTGACATACAGGTCAACCCCCCCCCCTTGTTGCCTGTTTTTTCTGTCGCATCTGAAAAGGTTGTATCCAGGTGTCTATATTTCACTGTCAAAGTAACCTTTTGTGTGGGTTCTGTGAAGCCTGCAAACACTACATTTAACACTGTGTAGGCTACAAACACTACATTTAACACTGTGTAGGCTACAAACACTACATTTAACTCTCCTAGAAGTCCACTCATGGAAGGTATTTTGTTGTTGGTGATGGTTTAAGATCCTGTATATTAGCAAATATAAATGATGCTGTGTTTTATGTTTGTTGGGAGGATTTTGTTGTTGGCATCAGTAGCTGTGAGCCCGGAGGTGCCACTGTGAGCCCGGAGGTGCCACTGGCTGTGAGCCCGGAGGTGCCACTGGCTGTGAGCCCGGAGGTGCCACTGTGAGCCCGGAGGTGCCACTGGCTGTGAGCCCGGAGGTGCCACTGGCTGTGAGCCCGGAGGTGCCACTGGTTGTGCCTCCAGTCCAGTAAGGCTCCAAGGTGGTGGACTATTTTGGTTATCGCTCTCCATTTTCTTAATTAGTTTCCTACCACTAAAAAATCACTTGGGGTGTTGTCCCAGCTACCATGATGTGTTGTATGGGGTGTGTGGCTCCTGTTCCTTTTAAATGGTATACAGTGCAGGTGGTATTGTAAAATTGTTTTTCAAGGACTGAAGACTGACACATCTCAGGGTGGAAGTATTTGCAGAAGGTAGAACGACACACTTCCTTAGACAGGAGGTCACGGCATTTTTTGGGATGCTCAAAGTTGCATGCCCCATTCGTTTTCCCTGATATTCCGTGTTTACAGATGCCCCAAACAGAATTTGCACCATTTTGTTTTTGGCTGGGTACAATTTGTGCTGGATGTATTCCTAATCTGTGCTGGTCCTAGAGCTGCACTACAGTCCTCCATAGCCAAACCAGAGACACCACCATCTGTTGTCATGGCACCAACATTTTAACTGGAAGAGGACTCCCCTACTACATCTGTACTGGAGGCTATGACTGTGATGGCTGCCATCTATTGGCAGAAAATCCAATTAAACCTCTACTATATATTTTATGCAACAGATGGCACTAAATGTTACTAAACCAAATAAATATTTGTATGCCATCTATTGACCAAAAAAGCAAATGATAAATTTAGTCTGTTTTTAACACAACACATGGTGCCAAAAGTCATTAAAGGATTTTTTTGCACCATCTATTGACAAAAAAGTACACTAAATATTGTTTACTGGTCTATCAACAGATGACACAAATAACATTACTTAGTAACTTACAGTGCCATCTATAGTACAAAAAAAGTTCATTAAATTTTCTTACATCATCTATTTAACAAATATTTTTAAGTAAGATCTGGCACCATCTGCTGCACAAAAACAATAGTTTCCTTGACTTTCGTCAACAAAAGCAGCTTTTAACACTATCTCAATACACGGCGCTCAAATATATTTTTTTGCCATCTAGTGGACACAAACCCTACTGAAGGCTGAGTAAAAAAATCTTTGTAGAGGTTTTTGATTCAAGGAAGCTGAGCGATCCCCATTACTGCCATGTTATGTTGGACCTCTAGAACATTCTAGACAGATCCACTGTATATAGTGGAGCTTTATAAAAGAACTGACTGTATAGGGGAGCTTTTTAAGAGAATTGACTGTATACGGGAGCTTTATAAGAAGACTGATTGTATACGGGAGCTTTACAAGAGAATTGACTGTATAGGGGAGCTTTATAAGAACCAGATGCTAGGAACTATTTATTCAGCGTTCACAAGACGGCAAGGTCATCAGCGAGGGCCCCAAAGTCGAAAACATTGCCGCTGTGGCCCCGTTGGCAGGCCAGGGCCGTGTCAATGGCTCGGAGGCCTTTCTCAAAGCGGGCCCTCACTTTTTCAGGGGCCCTGAGGTGAGGTGAGCAGAAGAGGACACAGTTGACCTGGTCAGGGATCTGTTGACGTAAGACTGAGGGGAAGGTCGACTTGACGTCATTGATGACATCTTGCTGGAGCTGATGGTCGCGACACACCAAGTTGATGATCAGGACACCTGTAATGAGCAGTTGATAGGCCAGGAGCTGTGACTTGACCCTTGTAGCAAGTTATAGTTAAGTACAAATACACACAATCACACACAAACACTCACACACATAAGACACAAACACACCCTTGTACCTACTTACTGCTAGGTAAACAGTGACAGTAGATGTAAGGTAACTAACACCCAAGTACCTACTTAGTGCTAGGTAAACAGTGACAACAGGTGAAAAGTAATTTAACACCCAGGTACCTACTTACTGTTAGGTGAACAGTGACAGCAGGTGCAAGGTTACTTAACACCCAGGTACCTACTTACTGCTAGGTGAACAGTGACAGTTGGTGTGAAGTAATTTGCCCAATTCCACCCATCCCAGGGTCAATTCCGGGTTGTTTTATTGTGTGTCTTAGGTGCTAGAGAGCCCAGTACAGCCAACACAGAACGAACCTTACCTGCGCTTGTGAGGCAACGTTTGACCACGTGCAGGAACACTGTGTCAACAAATGCCCGGGGTGGGCAGCTCATACCTGCCCCAGTGTCCTTCGAGTCAACGTCGAACAAAATGGCATCGTAGTGACGACCTGGGGGGGGGGGAGAAACACAAGGTCAAATGAGGTTGGTGACGAGATGTGACGGTCATTTCATCTGAATGTTTTGATAACCCAGGGAGACTCTGGGCTAATGCACTAACCTCTCTTATAACACTTCTATATACAGTCACTTCCCTTATAAAGACATATATACAGTCAGTTCTCTTATTAAGTACCTAGATATACAGTCAGTTTTCTTGTTAAGATCCTCTACAGTAGGGCCCCGCTTTACGGCATTCCGCTAATACAGACATTTCAAATTATGACCAAAACTCGCTATACGGCTCCCCCACCTGACTTTCTAATACGGCCACCACGCCCCACCCACTTTGTTTACATTCTCCATGAGCACCGTGAGCTCTGCACATCTCCATTATGTCTGGAAACTTTCCAAAATTTAAAGTGTTTTAAAGTTATTTCATGTTTTATATAAACAGTAGGGCCCCACTTATACAGCAGGTTAGGTTCCAGGCTACTGCCCATAAGCGGACATCTCCGGAAAGCAGAACACCATTTTTTCCAATTATAAATGCATATAAATGCCAGATAACAAGTTTACACTAACGTATATTAACCCTTTGACTGTTTTGGTCGTATATATACGTCTTATGCGCCACTGTTTCGGACGTATTTATATGCGTAAATTCTAGCGGCTTCGAATCAAGCAGGAGAAAGCTGGTAGGCCTACATGTGAGAGAATGGATCTGTGTGGCCAGTGTGCACCACAAAAAAAATGCAGTGCATAATGAGAAAAAAAAATGACCGTTTTTTTGGATTAAAATGCCGACTTGGAGGTGTATTTTCATATAGTACATATGTATTTATCGTTGTATTCTCGTTTTCATGGTCTCACGTGATAAAATGGAAAGCACATTACGGAAATAGAGATGATTTTGATTAGTTTCACGATGAAAATGACCTTGAAATTGAGCTCAAATTAGCAGAAATGTTTGATTTTTACCAATGTTCAGGAGTAAGCAAATCACACTACACGTCCAATACACGTCAACTGGGGAGTCTAATATTCTTTCACTAGTGCACTGATATTATTTATACCATTTTTACAATAATGCAGTAGTCTGTATAACAGTAAATTTTGTATTTTTTGTATGAATAAAAAATCAAAACAGAAAGCAATAGTAATATAAGAGGGGCCTAGAAACGTGACTAATAAACAGAGGATATGTTATTTTAGTGCTGAGAATGTCTACATTGTTTATTCTGGATCCTATTTTGAAATTGGCATCTTTTTTAATTTGCGTGAAATTGGCCAAATTGCCAATTTCTGACCACTTTATTGGGTAGTTCAAACCAGTAAATGGGTGGTTTCTTGTACTCAACTGATAGAAAAAATGGAGTTCTAAAGAAATAGCTACGAGTTTGGTCAACTGGAACAACGGAATTGGCCAAAAACAGGGCTCAAAGTTGGCAAAATTGCCGATGCATATATGTCGCCGAGACCGCTAACTTCGCGGGAGCGTAATTCCATGAGTTTTCGACCAAATTTCGTACTTTTGGTGTCATTACCATCGGGAAAAGATTATCTATCATTTCATAAGAAAAAATTATGTTTTTTAAAAAATTTTGCGACATAGAATGACAGTTTCCGAAAGGGGCTTGCGACAGTCAAAGGGTTAAGTTAGTAATTGAACTAGGCATTAAAAAACAATAAAAAGTAAAATACACACACAGTACACTCATTACTTACCTTAGAATATTTGTAGTCTTAATGTAGGATGAAAGGTGAGTAGTATTTATTGTAAGAAGTCAGGTGTGGGAGGCGTGGTAGCCAGCCTGGCCACCTCCACCCATACGTAATATACTATGACATTTAAAGCACTCTACAGTGATAAAATGCACATACAGTACACTCATAATTTTGATGTGTACCTGCACGCCAGCACAGTAAGTTTAATTAGGTACAGGCACACACAAGTATAATTATCAGAGTATATATAAAACATGAAATAACTTTAAACACTTGAAATTCTGGAAAGTTTCCAGACATAATGGAGAGACGCGGTGCTCATGGAGCTCACAGAATGTAAACAAACCGGGTGGCCAGCGGTGACCGTATTAGAAAGTCAGGTGGGGGAGCCGTATAGTGAGTTTTGGTCATAATTTGAAATGTCCGTATTACTGGAATGCCATAAGGCGAAATGCCATAAAGTGGGGCCTTACTGTACTCTGAAAATTATATTTATGTGTACCTGTGCCTAAATAAACTTACACACTGTGCTGGCATGCAGACACACATTAAAATCACTAAGAGTGTCTTATTAATCTTGAAGACACCATATTACGCAATAATCACTCTGAGCCACATTAAATGTCATATATTAACCCTTTGAGGGTTTCGGCTGTACTAGTACAGCTTACGACCCAGGGTTTTTGACGTACTAGTACGCCTAAATTCTAGCGCCCTCAAATCTAGTGGGAGAAAGCTGGTAGGCCTACATATGAAAGAATGGGTCTATGTGGTCAGTGTGCACAGTATAAAAAAAATCCTGCAGCACACAGTGCATAATGAGAAAAAAAAACTTAGTTTTTTTGGAATAAAACAGCGACTTTGCACTGTATTTTCGTATGGTATTTGTTATTGTATTCTAGTTTTCTTGGTCTCATTTTATATAATGGAAGACATTTTACAGAAATTGAGATGATTTTGACTGGTTTTACAATGAAAAGTACCTTGAAATTGAGCTCAAAGTAGCAGAAATGTTCGATTTTTACCGAAGTTCAAAAGTAAACAAATCATGCTAAGTGTCCAATACACGTCAACTGGCGAGTCTAATATTCTTTCACAAGTGCGCTGATATTATTTATACCATTTCTACACTAATGCAGTAGTCTGCATAACAGTAAATCTTCTATTTTTTGTGAGAATAAAAATTTAAAGTGGAAAGCAAAAGAATGTAAGAGGGGCCTTGAGACATGACTAATGAACAGAGGAAATGTCATTTTAGTGCCAGGAATGTCTTTCTTGTTTATTCTGGACCCTATTCAGAAATTGGCATCTTTTGAAATTTGTGTGAAATTGGCAAAATTGCTAAATTCTGACCACTGTACTGGATAGTTGAAATTGGTAAATGGGTGGTTTCTTGCACTCATTCGATAGAAAAAAATGGAGTTCTAGCGAAATATTCATGTTTTTTGTCGACTAGTAAAGTGGAATTGGCCGAAAATGGGGCTCAAAGTGGGCAAAATCGCTGATGCATAAACATCGCCGAGACTGCTAACTTCGCGAGAGCATAATTCCGTAAGTTTTCCATCAAATTTCATACTTTTGGTGTCATTATGATTGGGAAAAGATTCTCTATCTTTTCATAAGAATTTTTTTTTTTTTTTTAACCCTCTGAGAGTCGACAGGCCCTCTCCGGGACTTGTTCTCAGGGTCGACCAAATTTAAAAAAAAAATAATAATTTTTTCTTATAAAAAGATAGAGAATCTTTTCCCGATCATAATGACACCAAAAGTATGAAATTTGATGGAAAACTTACGGAATTATGCTCTCGCGAAGTTAGCGGTCTCGGCAATGTTTATGCATCGGCAATTTTGCCGATGCATAAAATCAAACATTTCTGCTACTTTGAGCTCAATTTCAAGGTACTTTTCATTGTAAAAACCAGTCAAAATCATCTCAATTTCTGTAAAATGTCTTCCATTCTATAAAATGAGACCAAGAAAACTAGAATACAACAACAAATACCATACGAAAATACAGTGCAAAGTCGCTGTTTTATTCCAAAAAATGGTCAAAGTTTTTTTTTTTCTCATTATGCACTGTGCTGCAGGATTTTTTTTATACTGTGCACACTGACCACATAGACCCATTCTTTCATAAGTAGGCCTACCAGCTTTCTCCCACTAGATTTGAGGGCGCTAGAATTTAGACGTACTAGTATGTCAAAAACCCTGGGTCGTAAGCCGTACTAGTACGGCCGAAACCCTCAAAGGGTTAAATTTTGCCGACCCTGAGAACGAGTCTCGGAGAGGGCCTGTCGACCCTCAAAGGGTTAATATAGACATTTTCATTCATCCATCTATGATATTTTTTCAAAATTACATAATAAACATGCTACATAACATATAAATATGATAAATACACTCTGCAATAGAATAAATTAACATAAATTTGAGATGTTTTTCCAGTCGTCTTGTCGGAGTGTCTAAAAGAATAACGTTTTCTCTAGTTCAACACCAAAGAAAATGCATACATAATAGTATTACTGGGGGTAACTGTAGAAAATTATTCCCTTCATATGCCTTCACTCTTTTATTATGATATAAGCTTCACAACATGGAAATGAACGTGTATGAACCATAACCAGACGCGTCCGTCTGCTTGTTTACATATTCCATGCCCCTGTCTTCTCTCATTTACTCGTTCTCTTTCTCTCATTTATTCATTTTATCTTGTTTACTAACCTCTCACCCTACATTTGACTACACAAATTTTAAGGTAAATAATGAGTGTAATGTATATGCATTCTATTGCTCTACGGCGCTTTAAATGTATATTACGTGTGGGTGGGGTGGCTATATCTACCACACCCGACTACCATACCTACCACACCCGACCTCTAACGATAAACACTACTCACTTCTCACCCTACATTAAGACTACAAATATTTTAAGGTAAGTAATGAGTGTACTGTGTGTGTATTTTACTTTTTATTGGTTTTTTTATGTCTAGTTTTATTGGTAACTTAATATATGTTAGTGTAAACTTGTTATCTGGCATTTTTATCATTTAGAAGTGGAAAAAATTATGTTCTGCTTTCCAGTGATGTCTGCTTTCCGGTGGTAGACCAGAACCTAATCTGCCATCTACAAGTGGGATACACTACCCCCCCTCCCACCCACCCACCACACACACACACACACACACACACACACACACACACACACCAGGAGCTCGGACTCGACCCCCGCAACCTCAACTAGGTGAGTACACACACACACACACACACACACACACGATAAAGC